ATACCCACTTAATGAAAACTTTATTTCTTAAACAGATTCTTATTTATAATAATATTATGAAAAGGCGTAATGCTCGTTCAAACTTCGAACTCGAATAGACGTTACGACTCTGCGCGGGAAACTTTTACTAAACTGTCACATTTGACAGATGACAACGTCAACATGACAGGTAGTTTTGCCGATAACACAGATTAAATTAGTGACATTAATTTAGTTGATTTTCGTCGTCTAACAGTAGGAAGCTTACGAGAAGCAAATATCATCTTCATTAGATATATTAACCCATCCTCTTCAAAATTAAAAGGCGTGATACACGGCTATTATCAATAAAGAATTAGTAATTGAATCACGTGCACGGATTTCTAGTGGCGCAATCTAGTTCGGGGTCGCTATCAAAATAATTAACATGATTACTATTGTCGTTAATTAGCGGCTTCGTAATTAAATGGCCTGCGACCTTCGTCAACATTACAACAATAAATTTTATCATTCAAAGGTTAAACTGAAGCCCTACCATTGTCTGTTTACATGGTTTATGTAATGTAGGTACAATCACATCAAGCTAGGATGACAATTTTAAATACTTTGGTATTGTAACAGTTTAAGAACACGATTAACAAAAAATAAATTTGGAAAATGGCAGAAGAAAGATCCATACAATTCAGTTCAGGTCAACACTAGCCTAATTGTCAATTTTTAACGCAACGTTGTCTACTTGTCCTATCACAGGCTCTAAGCTAGGAAGCAAAATAAGATTGTCAATTTAGACCTGATCTATTAAAATACGTAACACAGTATATCACCCAAACACGATGCCAGTATCAAAACTACTCGAAACGTGGCGTCATTTGGCACAAAGCTGGTACTTCAATTAAAACTTAGTAGTTAGAAGCTGCCAGATTCGCCCTTAATGGACGCTTCATGGTAGCGACGATGTTCTGAACTACGTAACAGAACATCAACACGCCTATGTGTTCCGAAAAGGTACGAACTATTACGAAAATGAAAACTGAAAATCACATAACACTAATACTAGTCAATTCTGACTCGGACATCGTTACCACAGTAGACACTGCAGTTATCCATAATCAACATTAACAAAAATATGATGATAAGAAAGAAAGTATCAAAAAAAATATTAACTTAAACTAGCTTCTGCCCGCGACTTCGTACGCGCAATTCCGATATTTCCCGTAGCCGTTCTTGATTTTCGGTTAAAAGTAAAAAAAAGTATTGGGTAAAAAGTCCGTCTCCTGGTTCTAAGCTACATCCTCACCAATCTTCATTCAAATCGACATAGCCGTTCTTGAGTTATAAATAGTGTAACTAATACGACTTTCTTTTATAGATTATCTATATAAGATAAAACATCTATAGGACATGACAACTATTGACAATCGACATAGCTATAAGATCACTCAATAACGAACATTCGATATGTCCTTGACATTACCAGAAAGTAGTTATCCGCAAAAGGACAGCTATTAAATACCTGTATCTTAAGCGTGTCGGATTAACGAAGGATTTTGTGGAATACTGGAAGGACTAAACACGTAAACCTTCAGTTAAGAAGGATTAGTTTTGTCGAAGAGAAAGCAACTAAAGCAAATTCTGTAAAGATTTTGTTTGTCTATTGATCCTTTAGTGAAAATGCTACGCATTACGAATCCATATCAAATATTAAGATATATGTATGCAATTAATTATCGTATTACAGTACGGAATAAAAAGTTCAATCCAATAATCCTTTGATCCAAGACCTACTGTCAGTATTAAAGTCGTAAATAACAAAAGGACAATTTGAAAATAGATGAAATGAAAGGGCTAAACATCCAACTGGGGGTACTGTTCTATTTATTTTCTGCAGTGGAGGTAGGTTGGATATTTAAGTAAAGAAACAGCTCAGCATGTATGCAACGAAGGAATGAAAATAAAACATTGGAATACGAGTATTTCATCAGGTCGTAAATTGCGGATGACAAAAAATATAAGTAACAAATAGGCAACGTTGTGGTATCCAGTTGGTTAGAAAGAAGGGGCCCATGAACAAAAGAAAAGAAAAGAATAGACAATGAACAGCTCAATTTTAATGGTGATGAGATTACTAAGTGCACACGTAATAATAGTTAGTCACTGTTGATATATTATTAGCATGATGAATAATCCGCATGTCAAAGGCTACACAAGAGGCGATAAAAGCTATGATTAATACAACTTTTACTTTCAAGCAAATATCTCCGTTTGAATAAACATCTTTATCGATGGGAGTTTTACTGTCATTTTTCATTCATGTCCGTGTATATTTAAAAAGAAAATTAGATGCTACTGTATTAAAAGCATCGGTGTTTTTTGTGGTATTTATATCGTAATACCATATCTCAATGAATATTGTAATTGATGTAATAATAGACGTAAAAGGCCCATCAGAATATCTAAACCATAAAACCTGACAAAATAATGGCATGTTTTCCAAGCTTGTTCTGTATTACAACAATAAACATGCATTTGTCGGGTACGAAATTGAAAACCGTGATCTGTTATCAAGGTTACGAGCGCTTTGACCCTTACAATCCGTGACAGAACAACAAGAACATAAAAAAGCGTTCTAACACGATAAAAATCTAATCTTGACAGATTTTCTCTCACAAAGAAAACAAAGCAATTTTCTTGATGAAACTAAAGCTTTTCCATTTATGAAAAAGTACGTTTTTCTTGGTAATTTTGACCAAGAGCAAAATAATTCAGAAAACGGTTACCTATATATAGTAAAGCCCTAAAAGCCCCACTTTTCCAACTTTCATTTTATGCAGGTGATGCAACCAAAATCAATCAGTGCTTACGTGCAACTTAAAAAAAGGTTTTAAGTATAGAGTTTGTGGTGGCGCACCGAACGCACTGGCACAAAATAAACAAGTTACCAAATCCGTTCGAAATCCTCCCACATGGCGGTATTTTATTTTTTTTATTGCGACACGTGGCCGTCATCCCCGCTTAGGGTATTTTTACATTGACAACACTTGTGTGGGCAGTTGAGTATAATATTTTTAGATAGATTGTTTTCATTATCAAGTGCTAGTCTATTTTTTTCCGCTCCTGACCTTTTGCCAGTTAAGCTTTACAGCTTTTGGCATTGAGTCTCTAATAAGATTTTGGTGAATAGCATTTTTTTGGTGCTACTGCCACCTTCCTTTCCTAACACTTCACCCCTTTCTACCACCGTTTATATACTTTCAGTTTATTTCAAACAATGACATTTCTGGGTGCTTGAACTCTTCATAGATAAAAGAGCACCTTCAAAACCTTCCTTTTGTTTTTGACTCTATTGTAAAAGTAAAGGTTAGATGGGGTGACACAATTAGTTTATTGGAAGCTTCATTTGCTTGGAATGGAGGGCGAATATACCCTCATCCTATAGAAATTATAGATAGTGATTAATTTTTCCCGACAAATTGACGGGTGCGACAGGTGTTTGATCTGATTTCCAAATCAGGCAAAGATCGATCGGCATTTTGGAACTATTTGGATTTTAAGATCCACAGAAGAATCTGGATTTTGTAAATCACGCCCTATTATAATCAAAGTAAAAAATAGGTGTAACGTACGTTCACCTCCAACCAACCCTTCGGTTTGCTGCTATTGCTTAGAAATCTTATACTGGCTTCAAAAATCAATAAATTGGTTACGTGTCTGCCTCTGAATTAATTAAAATAATTCAAATCTCATTACTAACTGCTAGAAACGTCTTTCCATCATTTGACATGGCGAACAGCGGCTAATTCCTAAGCACATTAAATCACGTATATTTTATGACGTAAGCAACGAGCAAATATTATAACGACGAAGTTCTAAACTTTCTCCACGGGCCGACACGTCTGGTGATGTGAATAACAATTGAAAAAGATACTGCGGTTTTATCAAATTATTGTTTTTATGCTACCTAATAAGGAAGATGATATACAGCGACGATATGTTTTATTGGTAGCCATTTTGCGTTATCATTTCATAAAGGTATACTAAATACAAGAACATATGCGTAATTTGCTTTATCTGTAATGTGCTTCACATTTGTGGTTTCCAAAAATTACAACGCTAAGTAAATTAAACGTGACATCAAGTCATGTTGATAAAAATTCCTTTCTTTGGAATTTCAGCTCTGTAATCCGTTTGATTCTTTTTGTTTAATGTTCGCAGAATCCATGACAAACAAAGACATTTCAATTTAACGTACCGCAGCATCGCGGTAAGCATCATTCAACACAAAGACCCATTTTAAAAAGGGATAATGCCTGTTGACACTTTTGACGCTATCGTTTATTTAGAAAGTCACGGAACCCGATAAGTGTGTGACCTGGGGAACAATTCGAGTACACTCCAATTTCCAGCGTCAATGTCTGTATTATTCTGAAGTGGGTTTTAAATTAGGGGTGTTAATTTTTTCCAGTGGAGAAGATAATCCTGAAGGGGACGAAAATACTTCCCTATTAACAAAACCCCTTTGGCCTTCTCGCACGTGCATCGCGGGGTCACAAGAATCTATATATTTCCGCAGTAAATTGGGGATCCTTCAACCGTATCGTGAAAAGAAAAATTGTAAATTCATTTGGAGCCTAACGCAAAATCCTGATATATTCAGTAGGTAATATTTTAGCCTCACAACTATCAATAACAATTGTTTCCACGGACGTTTGTAATCAACTTTATCACATCGGAATTTGTTACGGACTTTAAGCAGATAGTAGAACACATAATAGGTACAACAATATTAATTAATTTCGCTTTAATAGCATTGAAACTGTATCAACCAGCCTAACTTAAGACTTAAAACAAGTATGTACCAAATTAATTATTTATTAGTGATAAGTTTACGATAATTTGGGACTGTTGCAAGGCTTTGGACGACGAAAATATTTCATTTGTTGCAAAGATCAATTCATTATCCAGTTTCGTAATGTCTAATAAGTTAATAACTATAGAACAATTATATTACAAGCTGAACTTACCAGTGGCATCGCCGGTTTTTGTTGTATAGGCGGTTGAGGCGGGGGTCCTCTCGTCCTTATATCGCTCGGCTGTCTCCTAACAGCGGGCCTCGCAGGGGGCTCTCTTGGGACCTCTCTGTGAACTTCTCTCGAATCTCTATCTCTTCCTGCTAAAGCTTCTGATAATGCCGCTGAGAGTGCCCCGACATTGCTCGTCGATGATGGCGGTCGTACTTTGTCTGGGGAAGACCTTTGTGGAGGTTGGTGCGGTTGGGGTGGCGGGAACCGCGGCGCGTCGGTTTTGACTTGGCCATTTGGTGTGGAACCTGTAACAAGTACATTTTATTTATACCATTTACTTTTATAGGTTATAATTGTTTATAATTGTTAATCCTCAAGCTTGTTTATAAAAGTCGTTTTATTGCAGTGACTAATGAATATTCCTTTAATATAAATAACTAGCCTATACCTACATCAAGAACAAAGTGTACATACTTCCTGTTTACAGTCATTGACATTCAAATAGTATAATTGCAGCATTTTATAGTCTTTTATTATATTTTGGTAATAATTTTCATTCATAATACCTATTCTAGTAGAATGGTCTTACGATTAAGACCATTCAAACGTCATATTTATGTTTCGTACTTGAGTTACAAACGTGACGTATGTATAGATATCAATAATAGTACTTCTGTTGAGTTGTAACGGCTGAATGCAACACGGGTACAAACAGACAAACAGTTGTCTCTACTAAGGATTTACCTTGAAACATATCAATGTTAAGTACATAACACATTCCTCTACAACTAACTAGTTATAATCTTTAGATATTTATAAAATGTCTTGCAGAAACTAGGAATAGCGGAGGTAATTATACTTTTGCAACTGTACATTTAACTTTGGATAATAAC